CAAGGAGTGGGGGCTTAGTGTTTAACCTCATTAAGTAGTGCCCTGACGGTTACCATGCGCCTTTATGGAGGGGTATTTGTGAATAATGCAGAAAGAATCAAAATATAAAACTGTCACTTGGACAGCTGCACTTTTAAAAGGTCTGTGTCTGAATGATGGATGGATAGGAGCAACACAATGATTGTTGGAAACAATGTTTACAAAGGTTGCCTCTGCCTTTGTGTTGAACAATATATGACAATTAAAAAAAAATAAAACAAAACCCTCTGGATTCAGTGGAGAGGGTTGAAATCACAACCGTGACCTGCTTTCCATCCAAATTCCTTGAAGTGACTGTAGAGGCATTGAAAGAAGCGGCAAATAGCGTGATTAAGAAGAGGATGAGAAATGGTCGCAGACCGAAGTCAGCATTCTTGAAGCTGGAAACTGATGACAGATACATGTTTTACCAGACCTGAGAAAATGGAGCCCCAGCTGTTGGGTGGAGAAAGGTGAGAGCAACTGGGCTCACAAGACACGGGTGCGGCCCTGTGCTGCCTGGCACCTCAGGTGGCAGCTGGGAGTAAGAACAGGCCGGGTTGCATGCTTTCACAACAGGAAGTCGGATCCTGGAGATCCCCCTTCCCTACTCAACACAGGCTTGGCAGCTGTGGGCCTTTGGCGCCCGGCGCTCAGGCCCGAGTCCCACGGCCAGGGCAGCGAGCTGCCCTTGCACTGGCCGGAAGTGGCTGCAGAGCTCTTGATCTCCGAGGCCCCCTGGAAACTGTCAGCCTTCCCAGGCGCCAATGAGTGGGGCCTGGCTCAGCATTGGAGGTGCAGACTTGACTCAGGCCTCCCCCTTGGGAGAGGCGCCTTGCGTGCCCAGCCTCCTTGGCCCCCCCCCCAAGCTCTTCCCGGGGGGGCAGCCCCTGGATCTTGGCGGTTTGTCTCCCCTCTGGTGCACGTGAATCTTAACAAGGTCCCCCCACTACTTAGTGCCTGCTCCCCAGATCCAACAAAAATGATGCATCGACTTGTGGACCAGCCTGTGTGTATAGTGGAGGTGGGCACTGTTTTCCGGGAGGGGGCGTGTCACTAGTTCGTTCAGTTTTGCCGCCAGAACTGCCCAACTCTGCGTTCGTTACACGGCAGAGGCAGCTGTGAACACACACACAGACGGTCAGTTGTGTTTGCCGACTTCGAAAGGCAGCAGCTAGCCCAGCCACCGTGGGCGCGGCTTCCAGGCCACGTCCACACCCTCACCTCTCCCCTTCCTGTCCTGCCACCTGTATAAACCCCACCCCCTGGCCGGGCCCGAGTGGCCCTGGCGAATCAAGTGTCCACAGTAGTCAGTCTGTTAGATCACCAGAGAGGATCCGGACCTGACTCTTACCTGAGAGTCCTTCCACCATCACACGTTTGAATGTGGCTCATGTCGCAGGACAGTGAGCTAGTGACAGTTGTGGCAGGGGGTGGGGCGCTGGTTTTGCATTGTTTTGACCTCAAGACACGCTGTAGTGTGTGTGTGCACAGAGGTAGGCCAGGCTGGGCTTTGGCTCTCCCGTGCACACAAGGGCTCAATGACCTCATTGAAATTCTTGTCATTTGGCTTTTTGGTCATCGGTGAGTTGGAAAGACTGAGCGGCCGCGGGGTCCGTTTCACATGACTGCCTCACTGGCTCTGCCCTCCTGCTGACTGGCGGGGGGGGCCCTGAGGAGCCGGGCTCACTGTGCATGGAGTTCCTGAGCAGCAGAGGAGCGACTCAGCGGCCAGCCCCGGGCACTAGCCACAGGTGCTGTCAGGGCAACATCCAGGCAAGCTGGCCATGGCCCTTCCCCAGGGCTCTGTGGCCCTGGAGCTGATAGGCCAGGCGTTCCTGTGGACAAGGCAGGCAGCCAGCGGGGTACTGGGGACAGAGGGAGTTCCCCATGTGACAGGGAAAGGGCAGCTACCATGGGTCTTGTTCTGGCCTCCCAACCTCATGTACATGGGGCTCTGAATGTTAATGCTGACGCATCCAATAAAACTTTATTTACAAAAATGGGCCATCGGTCAGAGTTGGCCTGCAGGTCTTCGTTTTCTGATCCATTTCACAAAGCAGCCAGACCAGCATCCCTTCTGACTCTAGTGTGACAGAATGAACAATGACCGTAGGCCTGCGGGAAGGCCAGGAATGAAGGCTGAGGATCACGCCAGGGCCGCTCGCCCTGCTTCCTGTTCTTCCTGAGGGGCACTGGAAAGAATAAATCAACGGGATAATTTTTTTTATTATTTGTTCCCTTACATCATTGTTCATTTTGGGGACCATATCTTCTCCCCTCAGGTGTGGTCCCCGTAATTCTCCCACCACCAAAGCCCCCTAATCCATCACCACAGTCCCTCGTGCTCGTCCCTCCCTGTTCTGACCCCTCCCTCCACATCGTCTCTGGCATTTGTTTCTGTCTTTTCCAGTGTGGGCCAGTGTTGCTGGGGTGAGGTGGCATCTCGTTGTGGTTCTGAGTTGCGTTTCCCCGCTCATAAGCTGCATGTTTTTTCTTGTGCCTGTTCTGGATGTGTACATGTTTGCGCACCGTCAGAGGCTGTTGTTGTGCTCTGGTACAACATGGGACAGCAGGTGGCCTCATGTGGGACGCCCCATCACGTGTTGGCTCTCGTGTTCTCGATGGCTGCGCTAGGGCTTCCGGAGCCGATCAGGACATTTCTGCCACTCGGAGGACATTGCATTTCTTGGACTTAAGAGACTCATGTCTTTCTTCAGGTTGGAGGTGTTCTCAGCCCCTCATCGTACAAAGAATCGTTCTGTCCCTTCCTCTCTTTGACGCCCACGATCCCGTTGTCCACTTGATGGTGTCCCATAGGTCTCCCCTGCCTGCCCACTTTGTTCTTTTTCTTTCTGCTCCTCAGCCTGGATCTTCTATTCTCCTACCACCTTCTGCCTGGTCAAATGCGCTGCTGAGCCCTTCTTGTAAATTTTTCATTAAAGTGCTTCTCTCCAGTTTCAGGACTTGGTTCCTTTTTTATAATTTTTATCTTACTGGTATTTGCATTTTGTTTGTACATTTTCCTGGTTTCCTTCAGCTGTCTGTTTCCTTTTAGCTCTGTAACTCGAAGACAGTCTTTTCCAGTAAGTCCAATGTTAGAATTTCTCAGGGGTAGGTTCTTACAATTCATTTTGTTCCTTTGCATGGATGTTATCTGTTTCTTTGTGTGCCTTGTGATTTGTTTTGTTTAAAAATGAACATCTGGCCGTATGAGGTGCTAGCACGGACACTGGTATTCTCATCATTCCCCAGATGTGCTGAGGGATTTTTGTTTCATTTTTATTTTTCTATTCTGTAAACATTAAAATTTTCTTCACACAAACCTCACATATCACTTTGCTCTATTGGAGGAACAGTGTTGGATCCTGCATCTTTCCATGTTTACATTGGTCCACAAATCGTTTCTTTCAGAACCGTTTCAGAATCGTTTCTTTCAGATTTGTCTATCAAATATATTGTTTTCAAATTTATTAATTTTGGCTTTCAGTTTATTTTTAAAAAGATTTATTTATTTATTTATACAAGAACCCAGGGTACAGGCCAGATTTGCTGGAGGCTGAGAGGATTCACCAGACACAGAGCGGGGAACAGAACAGGCAGACTGACAAAATACACTGCTGAGGGGAGCAGCGGGCTAGACAAAAAAAGTCTGCCATACCATGTGGGACCCTCGCTGGCCAGCCGGGATCAAAACGGCGCTGAAGAGGCTGTGGACAGCTTCACAGCGCTGTGCTCAACTGCCTGCGCCACCAGGGGAGGCCCTTGGCTTTTAGTTTATAATTCCTTTTTATGCTTTAGAGAAAGAGAAATTAGAAGGAAAATTGTGTGTGAGAACTGTTTTAAATTTAAAGGAAAGGTAGTATTTTCATTCATTCATTAAATAATTTATAATGCCTGCTATGTTTTAAGTTGGATACTAGACAACAGGAAAATTAAAATATATATTTTTATACTGAGAGAGAAGTTATTTCAGCATTTAAATCCTACTAGAACTACAGGGATGCTCTGCTAGAAATTCTGAACCAGAATTTTGGTCACACTGGCTTTCCCTGGCTCCACCCATCACCACCTTATATGCTCCCTGGTGTGTCGGTCTGCCCTGTTGGTACCATTTTCATTTCTGAAATAGCTTCTCATCTTAATTTTACAGCTTGAATGGGCATAGTCTGCTGTTTTCTGTTCACTTTGTGCCTTACATTTTTAAAAAGTAATTTCAGGCTTACACAAGAAGTTTTTGTCTCAACCCCCCACCCCCTACATAGTTTAAAAAAAATACAAACTCTGCAGAATGTTCAATTGACCTTTGCTTGGTACTTCCTCATAATTCAATTCAGATTGTGGTTTTGTTAGTTTTTACCAAAATACCACAGAAATGATACTGTGTTCTCAGTGGATGGTGTAGGAAGGCAGAGGGCATGAAGCCCTCTGGCAGTATTGGTCGTGCTGGGACAAGGCGGCATCTACTGGGTTCCTTCACTGTAAGGCTACTTTCCCCATGGTCACTACCAGTATTTTATGGAAAGATACTTCGAGACCGTGAGCTTTTCCTCATAAACTTCTACCTGCTAGCTTTAGCGTCTGGGATGACTGGCCCTCTGGTCTGTCCCGGGCTCTCCCTTTGCTCTCACTGGCTTCGCCATCTCATGGGCCCCAGCAGGCAGCAGGCAGGACGCACTCAGTTCTCGGGAGGGGTCTGTGCGTAACGAGCTCTGTTGCTGACCCTCCACGCTTCAGCAAAATGATAGTGATAATGTACTCACACACCAAACAGTGTAAAAGCAAGTGTTAAAAGTGTTAGAGGAAAATGTGAACAATCTCCATGAAAAGTGCGTGGGAGATCATTGTACTATTTTGCAATTTTTTTTGCATGCCTGGCTTTTTTCCAAATATAATGTCAAAGAATGTAGCAGTTTTAATTGAGATACCATCAAAACCTTCACAGATACTTGAAAAAAATCAAAATCAGCCTAGAGATTTAATTTACAAGCATTTGAATATATTCAAATTTTATTACCGTTGTTTATAGAAATTTAACACTAGCATCTGTGTAACACCCTCTGAGGCAGAGGGAGAACACCACACACAGTTCTTGCACACTAAGGTAACAGTACCGTTGTCGACAAGACGGATTCAGTTAAGCACACTGGACAGAGCAGCCAACTCAAGGTGAAGATTCCAGTTTTAGAACACAAGTGAATCTATCATTTAGCGAACATGACAAGTAATATTAAAACGGCACACAGACTTACAGAAATTCAGAATTTCCCCCTCCAATTAAAAGTGGAGACAGGTTTGCAATATAGAAACCTGAACATTACAGCACTCAGGGTCGAGCAAAGCACACATACAGACACACTTGCCACACAGTGCAATTTTATTGTGTAAGACATGAATAATAGTGCACTTAAGTCCAAGAGTCACATTCAAATATATCAAGAGTGCAGTCCAGATACCCGGCTAGCGAAGAAACACACATTCTTTTTAACTAAGTTGTGCAAGGACATCATTTTAGTGTGGGTGGTACTGGATCCACAAAGACTCTGAACAACAGAACTCAGGTGCATTTCTGTTGACCAGCCCACCTCTCTAATAGGTGCATTTTTAAAAAAGAAGCAAATGTCTTGGGCAGACAGACACGAGGCAGTGTTGTAACGACTCATTTTCTTACATGTCACCAGCTAGTTGTCTGCAGCCTCACACCAGAATGGCTCTTGGTCAGGAAGCCTTGTCAGAATGGACTTTCCAGGACAATGTAGTAGCTGCAGTGAGCCCCAAATCTTTCACCAAATTCAGCACAAACTAGTTTTGTAGAGTAGCTCAAGAGAGAAGACAAGGTTTCCAACAGGGAATGCAGACAAGTTCAGACTTTCTAAGGCCTAGTCCTAGTAGAGCCTCAGGGGTCTCTTGGGGCATTTGGTTTAAGGAAGAAACTGCAGACACTGGATTTTAAAGATGCAGTGAAGGTAGAAGTTGTTTTATTCAAGGAAACAAAAGTTAGAAAACTGAGACCGTGAACACACAAGCGTTTCATATTATCTAAGACTAAATATTAATGGGACGTGTTCTTGTCAGGGCGGTGAGGTGCATAAAGTGACTGTGGCGCTGGTAGGAGAGGCGCAGGCCAGGTCAGAATCAGCAGCCCTGACCTGTCGCTGGAAGGCGCTCAAACCTGGCAGCAGACTGGATGGTCTCACTGTGCTAAGCCTCCAGGCGGCCAGGACATCGCTGATTCCGCCTAGTGTCATTCCGGCCCAGGAAATGCCTTCCTCATGAGGAGCGTGCTAATGCCCCCTTGTGGTTTTCGGTTCCTTCCGTTTGGGTTCACAAAGACCGAAACTTATGCCTCAGGGTAAGGTCAGATGATGAGCGAGACTGGTGTTCTAATTAAAACTGGCAAAGTAGCTAATCCTGAAGCCAGGCAACTACAAGAGTGACATCTGTAAGCAAATTTGCTTTAATGCAGCAAAATCTTCCCATTTTTCTCTACAAGAAACAACTACTGGTCAGTTCTTTTCCAGGACAGTGATTTTTAAATTTGATACAACTACTGACTGAATCAAAGATGAAAATCTCATTAAATACCATCCTTTAAAATGAAAAGCAATGATATTTCATCTCTATAAATCACACCTTAGAATTTAAAGTTTTAAAATTCCCCATTTGGGATCTTAAGTGTCTACTGTCTTCCAAAGTTTTCCCAAAAATCATTTTCAAACCTTGCTTCATAGTCCTAATTTTTCTTGAAAATAAAATACATTTATCGGTACTTTTAAAACCTATGTTACAATTTTTCCTTTCTTTTTCCTGTTTAATAAAATCAAAATGATAAACTTTTCATTAACTATTGAAAAAGTATTACCACCAAAAGTTTTAATATTTTTGTATGATCAGTGAACTCTGTTCTTCTGATTTTAAAAAAAAAGTAATTTAAATTAAAGGTTTCTTGAACTGCTGACAGATGATTCTAACAGATTCTTTTTAAAAAAAAAAAAAATTCTTTGTGGGGCCTACTTTTCACATCCCCAAACTGCACACCAGCTTTCCTGGTCATGAGTAAGGAGCACGTCACCTGCATCCGAGTCCTCCCCCCGCCCCATTACTGCCGGCTCTTCCATGGCTTTGCTCGCTCAGTGGTTCTGCCACTGTTCTCAAGAAAAATTTTAAAGTCACATTGACTGAAGACAAGTCTCCACACTTAATGTTTAACAAGTATCTTCTCGTGACGATGTCCAAGGTGTTCTTCCCATCCAGGGCACAGGTGGATAACGTAGTAGTGTCTCTAAAAGCCTCTTTGAATGATGATGATTATGCACTTCTGACAGAGTTCTCGTGTGGGGAAAACCCAAATATTTGCATTATTAGATGACTCCTTTACAAATACACTAATGCCAAAGTTTGCTTTTATGACCCGTAAACATAACTGAGGTTTGAGCGTCCTGACAACCGAGAGTCTGTCTCAATAAGAACCCAAGGCTGCTCGCAGTGCTCTGGGCGTGCACCAGGAAGTGGGCACAAATCGACAGCACCGGTTTCTCTGTAACAAGCCTAGTAAAAGCCCTCTTCGGGGCTCCATCCAGTGGCCAATCACATAACCAGGGGGTCCTTCTAAAGATGCAGTGAAAGCTCTGGAGCTTGAGCCCACTGTAGAATCTCCGGTCCCTTTCAAATTCCACATAGTTATCCAAAATCGATGGCTCACAAAGATGAGCCTCTCCCTGCCTAAAGAAAATGATAAAACCTAACGCTGTCCCTACAAAGGGGCCGCTCTTTCTGGCTGCTTGTGTCTATGCAGTGTCTTTTGCTTTTCTGTCCCTTTTCTAATAAACCTGCTCTTTAAATATAAAAGAAAAAAAAATAAAGATGCAGTAAAAGGATCTCCAGCTGGTTTTCCTTTTGGGTCCACAAGCTAAGAAGGAAAGGACTCTCTCTTCATATCTAGTCTTGAGACATAGGAGGAAAAAAGAGGGGCTGCGTGCACAAAAGCAGCAGGTCGTTTTGAGGGGCCGTAAAAAGCTGGGATGTTTGCTTTTTATAAAAACTAACACAGGCGTTTAGGGCAATGCAGAGCTGTGGCCAGCAGAGCGCGGCTTCCTTGCCTGGCCAGCCGTGCCGCCCCGGCACCCCATGGTGCCTCACCACAGCCAAGAAAATACCCAAGAATAGAGCTGAGGTTGGAGGAAAAGGCAGGCGAAGTCACCAAGAAAGTTTCGACTGTGGGTTGTCGTCTGGCCTTTTGCTACCAGTCTGAGGAAATGGGAAAAGGGTGCAGCTTCGGCAGCTGGGGACAGGCACCTCTCGAAGGCTCTGCCAGTGGCCACAGACTTCGCTAGAGTAGATTTTTTAAAATTCTGTTTTTAGCTCAATACATAGATCTAAAGCAGGTTCAGTTTGGGAGTGGTTTACACTGAATGGCTGTGTACAGATGGGGTGAAGTGCTAAAAAGGTTACTCTTCAACTCTCCCATTAAAGAAAAACCAGAGTTGGTCGCATCTAAACCAAGCAGGGCCACGAGCCGAAAGGTACGGGCAAGCTGCGCACTGCGGCCACCCCGTCCGGAAGAGCCCCGCACCCCAACCTGCCTCTGGAAGCTGAGATGTAACAGCTGAGTCGTGTTCACAAACTTTCACCTCCACTGAGTTCCACTGGCCTCACACTGAATGGACACCAGCAGGCAAGATAAATTGTCAAAAGGCTTAAGCCAACACGAAAGTTTTAACCTCAATATTAGTAAACTCTTAAAATACTTAAAATCAGACGAAACAATGAATACACACACATGTAAACCAGTGCAATAAGAACTTCAGACAAGGGCAGTGCATCTCTGGTTTAAGGAAAACATATTTGTAGCTTAATTATGACAAATTACCTCTAAATGATGGTTTAATGTTACACCCAGCATTTGATACATATTTAAAGGTGGGTTAAAAGAAATATCTGAAAACCAACCCAGCAGTTAACACCACCATATCAGTAACAAATTCCTACTTTATTTCTATATTGCACATTGTTTTAGTGTCTACTGTTAAAGTGAATTTACTTCTGAATGTAAATATCAGAGGACTGTGCCTGTTGCCTTGGAAAACAGTTTACCTGGACTAAGTATTCAGATTTTTTCTTGACAAACCAGAATAAGAATGGATTCCACTTTTTCAGTCCGATGCTATTTTAACGAGAATGGCTATTTTATGGGACAAAGATATTGGAAAATGCATGTTAAACATGAAAATCTTGATTTATCAACCATTTCAGTTTTGAAAAATACTTTTACACTTGCAGTATTTTTTAAACTAACAAATCCTCCCTCGCGAGATGAACGGCAGCCTGCCTGATCTGGAGTGCTATCTGCAGAGTGGACAGAGAGAAGCAGCTTATGATGAAACGGCGTCTAACATGAATGGCGCTAAATAGGTCACCTATTTTACATAAAATGGCTAGCACCTCCTTCCTGTTCCCCAAGTGAGGAGGCCTAACAGGCCACACGATACATGAGTAGTTATAGTAACTTTCATTCGTAAGTAATGGGAAATCCACGACACTATGGGGTCCCCACATCTAAAGCCCAAGTCCCAGGTTCGTGGGTAGAGGTGACCTCGGGGCACAAGGGGGCGGTGGAGCACTGGTGGCTGGGGAGGGCGAGGGCACGCTCTTAGGGACTCGCCTGTGGCCCATCCTCCGTTTCCAGTTCTGCCAGCTGCCTCCTGAGGACGTTCACTTTTGCTTGCAATTCCTTGTTATATTCTATGATGTTAACCATTTCCTCATATGCTTCATCCAAATGCCGGGAGGATCGATTCCAGCGCAGGAAGATACCTGTAGGGCCCAGGAAGGGTAAACAGAAGGGACAAAGCGACATCAGTGGGGTTAATGGTAATATATAATTCCTGGGTTATATATTTTTTTCTCTTTTCCCCACACTTCACATCTGTGCTCTACTAGACCCTGGCAGATGCAGGCATTCTGTGGCGCTGAGAGAACGTGACTGAATGCAGGCTCTGAGAGGTCCCGTTTCCATGCACACGCTCACTGTGCTTGCAAAACCCACTGTCCTGAGAAAGGTCAAAAGTCTGTTCTGAGACATGTGCTGGGGAGCAAGCGACAGTCACAATGCCACAGGCGTTTCCTTACAATTCAGGGCTTATACCCACCCTTGTGTGACCTCCTACACATGGGAATTCACTTTTACTGGAAAGTGAGAGTAAACGCAGAACCATACAAATCATCGTCCCTTAAAAAGCTCTCTTCAGAGTCCCCCTGTGCTCGCAGGGTCAAGAAGGCCGCCAGGCTTACCCTCCCACAGCTGAAGACTCTGCGGGGCCACCGACGGCCAGATGACAAGGTTGTTGGCTTCAAAGAGAGGGTTGGTGAGTCTGCTCAGCTCGCTGGGCTGATTGACCCAGGACCACAGAGACATCGTTTTCTGCTGGAGCTTCAACTTACATCTGATCAAGACAGAAAGTTGCCATTCAGGCAATTAGTTTCTAACAACTATTAAATGCTCCTCCTACAGGGACACTTTTCTCTGTACAGGTTAGGGAGGCAGAACCTAAGACTTTTAGCAGGGGAACAAAATGTAAAATAAAAATATTTTGAAAAACCAATCAGCATTACAACAAAACAAATACTGTCTTACAGGTTTCCAAAACCAACGAGAGGGTTAAAGACAGAACCTGCTTGTGCCAGATTCAGAGTTAAACGTTATTACCCAGACATTCCTGCACACACAAGCCCTTTGCTGTATCTGGGGTTGCATTTTAGTTTAAAGAAAAACTTCCTGACATTTGGTTGTTTCAGAGAAGACTAAGTATAAACTGGACTAGAAAGACACAAGAATTATGCGTGGAATTATCATTGAAAACAGAGGGTAAGTCAAATCTTAAAACTTACAATGTTTAAGATTTGTTTTTTTAAAAAATATATAATTGCAGTTAGCACAGAAAAAGCAACTGACATCCTTACATGGCAGGAACACTGAACAAACTAAGACTCCAGGGAATCTCAACAAGCTGAAGGGCACATAAAAACCCACAGCTGACATCAGCTCAGCGGGAAGGACAGACACTTCCGCCTGAGAAAAGGCAAAGATTGCCAAGGAAGAACAACTATATTTGCAGACAAGATCCTGTTCACAGAAAATCCCAGAGAACGCACATGCATGCACACGCACACACACACACTACTAGAGCTAACACTGCTAACACTGCAGACACTGCTTTCAGGAAGTGGCCCCAAGGAGCGGTGTACCCACCTTTCACTTTCATTGTTGCCCAGAAATGTTCCAAACTGTGAGGCGTAAGCGTGCTCAAAGAGCAGGATAAGGAAATTCTCATTAAATTCGAAAGAACACGGGAACTGCCGAAGGATCTGCCACACACAGTCCAAGAAGAGGAGGAAGACGGGCGACTCCCACTTCTGCCTGCTGCTGCAGTAGGCCGACTGCGCGCAGCGCTGCTGGAACGGGTGGCCGGCCTGGGGACAGGGAGATATGTCACGCCTGGGCGGCAGGTGGGGGCATGTTCTGCTGCCATTTTCATACCATGCAGTGGGACTCGTTCAGCAGATAATCCTGCAACTAGGGCGGCTGCCATTTAGATGTTTTCTTAAACCCATTTTTAGCAACTAAGGGAAAAAGACACAATTCCAAATCCTCATGAGGTATGCCGTTAAGACGTCACCATTGGAACTGCTCTGCCCTTGGAATAGCAAATGGAAGAATAATGAACTTCAAGAATGATACACATATAAGCTTTCTTTCCAGGCCTGTGAAATTTGCAGCAGAGTCTGAGAACACAAGCTCTTCAGGTGTGGTTACGGCCTCTGTTTACCCAAAACATTGGTCTGTTGGGAGCTACATTGCCTTGCCACTAAATGGAGAGATGTGGGCGTCTCATCGACAAACTTCAAAGGTTCTGGTATTAAATCTTTAATGACAGGGGAAGAGAGTAACTGTCGTGAAGAGACCTGCATGAATACCTTCACAGCAGAGATAAAACTTGTGCTTGGTTTCCCTCTTCTCCCAAGAACTGGAAGAGTCTGCCATCTACTGACCAAAGAAGATCTGAGGGTGTCAGCTGGCCTCCCCCAGAGCCCCAGGATAGACCCTCCCACAGATGGCAGCCTTTGGAAGGTCACACACCTGCTCTTCTTTGGTCTTCTGACTGCTTTATCTGACATAGCCAAAGCCACGAGCACTTCCCAGCGGCCAATGGGACCTTCAGACCCACTAAAATGGCAATAGAGAAGCCAGGAGGCAAACTCGTCTGTTTGCTGTGCCTCATGTGGACTATGGCTGAGGAGATCGTCACCTAACATGGAAGGTGTGTTTAGGACAGCCTGACTTAAACAAAGATAAAGACCAGCATCAGGCAGGGTGGATGTCTGTGTAAGAAGGGCTAGTAATAACTCGCAACTGTATCGACAAGGCCAGAAATGATTCCTTTCCAGGGATTCTCTCACCCTCAAGATAGAGCTATACAGTTGTTTCCAGCCACAACTGCTGACTGAGTTACAGTCTACACTGCATTCAGGTCACCTGTGTCAGCTGCACGTCAGCACTGTGACAGCACCGGGCTATGCCCAGGAGACAAAGAGGAGCTGGCCTGGTCCCCTGCCCTCACTGCATCTGGGTCCAGCTCAGACAACAGGGGCACACAGAATGGTGGACTTTATCCGTGACGGAGGGTAAGGTCCCACAGATGTCTGAAGGCAGTGGCATTCAGCTGGACCTCGGAGGACGAGGATTTCACCTGCTCCGGGAAGAGGACAGGGTGGAGTGAAAGGCAGAAAGAGCTAAAGTGTCTGCCTGGCTGCTACAGCACACCGCCACAGCCCTGGCCACCGGCCACACCCACACGTGCAGTTGGCGTCTTTTACTCAGGCGAGACTAAGTGCTGTGAGACAGAACTGCTCACGTTCCCTGCTCCTCCCCTGTAGGTAACGGGTGCAGCCAATGAGAGTCTGTTAAGGGACTCAAACGCCCAGTGAGCTATACAGGCAGAAAGAGATGGGGTGATGAGAGGCTCCCTGGGCGCCGGTGGCTTCTCAGGAGGGAGAGTTAGTGAAGATCGCGATCACTGAGAAGAAGACAGGGTGACGGCCCCAGAGTCTCGCGCACTGCACCTGCCGCCCCACTGTGTATGGCAGCTTCCCTCACCTGCAGCCACTCTCTCTCCACGAGGGCCTCAAAGCCACGGATGGTCCTGCTTCTTGGTTCCAAGATGATCTGGGCCAGGGAGGTTACCTGAAGCGTAGAATCAGTTCCTTCTGTTCCGTGAATCAAGACGGATGCTCCTTCCCTGAGAGGAAAACCCAGAGCACAAGTAGGGTAGCCGACACTGTCACTCAGCTCTGTTACCAGCAGCATCACCACGCACAGCACTTCAAAGTCCTGTGCATGCTGCTCTGTCCAGGAGACTAGTGGGGGCCTAAATAAGGGGCTGAAGGGAGCTGCCCGTGGGGGAAGTAAAACTACAATGAGTCCCAAATTTAAATGGAAGAACCCCTTCAAGTTATAACAGATCTCACACCTTTCGGCTGAGAATTTCCTCCCTTTACAAAACTGAGAAACAGTTCTCACCACTCACAGCAGGCACATAAGCCTTTTCTACTTTAATAGTTCACCTGAGCCTTTTTTCATCAAACCCAGAAACAAACGCTTAAAGTTCCTTTCCTGTATCTTTTTATTTTTTTAAAGTATTATTTCTTTAAAAAAAATTTATTTATATTTGTGTAGAACTGGGGTGCAGGCCAGATGTGTGGGGGATGCAAGGATTCACCAGAGACAGAGTAGGGAATAGAACAGGTGGATCTACTGAAATACACTGCTGAGGGGAGCAGTGGGCAAGACAGGAGAGGTCTGCTGTGCATGTAGGTCAGCAACCAGGCTGTCACCGTGCCCCCCGCCCCACTGACCTGCACAAGGTGCTCCTCACCTGTCCACACACTGGGCTGCGAGGCAGGCGGTGGTCAGGATCTCTTTGATGTGCGTCAGCCAGTTGGATGCCTCCAGTTTGCTGAGCCATCGGTCCATGTTATGTGTCTGGTCGTTACAAGCTTCTACAAGTTTGACGAGGCTCTCCTGCAGAACGTGATACCTTTCAAAAACAAGAAAAAGGAAACAAACAATGAAGAAAACAAACCAAAACTCAGCCTTCACTATATCCAACAGCAAAAATAGTGCCAAATACTAGAAACACGTTACCTTGCTAAGGATTAAAGGCCAACCTGTCAGGCTCAGCCCTCTCCCATGGCTAAAGGCGAGGAGGGGCTGGGTACCGCATCCCGCGGCAGGCAGGATAGCATGCTGGCACCTGCAGCCCTCTCCCAGGACCCTACCCTGGCCACCTCCTACCACCCCCATTCTCAGGAGCTGCCCTGGGCTAGCTCAGACCCACTGTCTTACCAGCTCCACCTCCCACCCACACAGAAGACTTAGTGGCTACCGATGTCAAGCATCAGCAAGAGATGACACAGGCAGGGGGAAAAGGGTGTGCGGAGGTGGTTTGGGGGAAATAAGCCTCTCTTTTGACTTAGGAGCGTGTGGATTTCAGGAGTCTGGTGATGGCTGGTACAGGAGTGTAAGAACAGACCTGCTGGTGATGAGACTCAGCTGACTGAGAGAAAGCAAGCAGCCTGACTCAAACTCCCCGCGGCCTTTTGTGATTTCTTTCTGCTTATCTGAGAGGACACACCTTGTCCTGCCAATTTCTGACTATGCTAACGTGTAGGAGTGTTTGAAAACTTGTGAATTTTGAACGTCATTAGCTCTCAGTAAGTCCATCCTGTCCCCAGAGCCTATTACCTCTCAATGGACTTGTGGATCCGCCTCCACTGGGGATAGTGAGCTTCCTGCTCGAAGCCGCCCCCTCTGGCCCGGGCCTGCTGGGCCACGTTGAGGGCCCGGGTGTCCACTATATAGCCGCGCTTGCCTGCCCTGAGGGTGGCGTTTATCAGCTTCTCGTCTTCCTTGCACCGCCTTCCGTTTGTGCCCGTGAGGGGCTGGCTGCTTCGCATGATGACCTCAGAGCAAATATGGATTACAATTTAGTAACAGTTGCTTTTGAAGTTTCTGAAGACAGAAATGAATTAGCTGTATTAAGAGTATATCAAAAACAATCATGTGACACTTGGAAATGGATTTAATCCTAAAACAAAGATATTTCTATATGTTGACAACAGTTAAAAACTGTAAAGCAGAAGAAGCCTTGCACTGCTACTTGATTTTTCTCTGGATGCTTCCACGTGATACAGTACCCGCTGCAGATCAAACATTGTTACTCGATTAGTCAGTGAGCGGGATACCCAGCAATCAGGCCTGCAAAGGAGATAGACACAGTGGCCTAAGAGCTAGGAAATTTTTTGAACTACATAAACTTGGCAGATTTTATAAAGAGTTATATAGACAAAAGGCAACAATGGCAAAATTTAAAAAAATTATGCACTATTCTTCATGGTGGGGGAATCATTTTCAATCTCTGAAATGCTGCTTATTCTCCAGTGGCCTCTCCCACCCTTCCAGTGCCTGAGACGTAACTACTGCATAGATAGTTGGTGGCGTAAAGACCTGCCACTTTGAAAGGTTTGGTTTTCAAATTTCTCTGAAGAAATCAACACCTAATATACTGACCTTTTCCTTGGTAGATGGTTTAAGAGTTATTTCAAGACACCCCAAAATATATACGGTTATCTTAATAATCTTGAAATTTAACCTGACCAACAGAAGTCACCTAGAGGATGACGAGGGCTCGCTTACAGACAGGGCTTGTCATTTAAACGGACTGACAGTGCATCTAACTGAGTCAGCGGTCACAGTGGGAAGCAACGCCCCCACGCAAGCCAAAGGGGGACCTGATGCCAAAAGCAGCAAATTGTTAGAGACCTTGTCATTCTAAATGTTCCCATGTGACCAGGGGAAAAGGAAAATGGAACGTGGTTACAACTTACCCACTAATTACTACTGGGTCAAAACAAGAAGCAGAATTTACGGGCTGAGAGAAAGCAGGAGGGGAACAGATTTAGGACATGTTCAGGGAACAGACAGGCAAGGCAGCTCGCTGCGCCCGGAGTGGACTCTGGTTGTCATCAGTGACGCGCGCATCTCTCCTCTTTTTCTTACATTGTGGTTTATTTTTGTGCAATAGTTGATTTCTCTGCTTGTGTACAGGCCCCGCAAGTCTCCCGTCACCATGTCACCCATGAACCTTCACCCTATCCCGTGGTGCGCTTATGTTCGTCTCTTGTTCCTTTTGCAAGTAAACAGTCTGCTTAATCCGCCTCTCACAGGGAAATGTGGAGAGAGTAATTGGAGTGTTTACCATTATTCTGCTCACAGAAATTTATGTTTCTATCTAAGCGTGTCATTTTATGTGTCAACACTGGCTTCCTCTACTGAGTCCTGACGATGAACCCACCTGGGGTTCCCCAAGGCCGGGTGGCATCACAGGAGGAATTCAAAGTCATGTCCCGATCACAGAATACACCCTCCTTCTGATTCTCTAAAGTTTAAACAGGTGTACGTTTAGCAGGAGTCACTAATCACTTCAGCGTGAGGAAGGGAACGTTTCTAAGAAAAGTTCCTCAGACCAGGCCTCTCCGCAGTCCGGCAGCAGCACTGGGACTCACCATTCCGTTCTTTTTATGGTAGTAGCTGAGCACAGGGAAGCGGCCGCCATGGCGAAAGGCAGCTACCTTCCGAAGTGCCTCGTCGTCGATGGACTTGGGGACGAGGACGACGGGCGGGTAAGAGGGGCAGACCGCGAACTCCTTGTTGACACAGCTTAGCCTCCATTCACTGGTCTGAAAAACACAAAAGCACCTCAAACCTGAGCAATGGTCTCAATGCCAATAAATAATCTGAAATATTTTAAAGGCCCTGATAGACCAACTTTCACACAGTGGAGAAGCCAGCTCAGAATTTAGCCAAAGGGTACAGGGCCCACCCTCACACTTGCAGAGAAAAGCAGCTCCACGATTCCAAGTCAGTTTCCTGCATCTCGCGATCACCCTACAAGCTCTTCCTCACCGAGCAATAACCACCGCTCTGCGACTCCCTCTATTGGCTTGACTATGATGTCGCTACAGGTTCCTCACTCACAGGCGTCCTGTCAGACACTTGAAAGACAGTTGTTTCTGCCTCAGCCTTTTACGCTCCAGAGTGACTACGGAACACGCCCATGATTGTCAGGGCTGACTCATCTGTCCTTCGCAAATGGCGCTCAAACAGTGCAGCCGCAGGAAGGCTGACGGCCAGAGGTGCCCGCGTCAAGCCCTTGTTCCTCTCTGCTATTCGCAAACGGAGAAGGCTGTAGACACACGGGCACATCTTAACACAAAGATGACCACGCCAAGAAAAGTTATACTCCGGCGTCAGTGAGGTGATTTCTCACTCTGGGTGCACGGGACAAATGCAAACAATATACTGTCAGATCACTCCTTATTTCAAACATCAGAATTGAAAACAACTTGAAGAATATATAAAAGATGTATAACATCTTTTATGGTACAAAAAGAATTTATGTAAATTTTGGTATGTTCCAGTAAATTAGAGTTGGCCACAGACAAGCTGGGGTTGGCAGCACCCAGAAGACTATTGTAATTTTAATTTTTTTTACTTTACAACATTATCCGTGTTGCCAAGCTCAGCCTCTTCATGCTGTTTCCAGACACACACGTCATCACTGTCAACACCCCACGTTGACGCAGACCTTTCAAGCAGCTTGAACTCTCTTTAGGATGGACTCAGGGACGTGGGCCTCAGAGGCCCTTTGCATTTGCTGCCTCCAGCGCCAAGCTGGGTCTGTCCCCGCCGGGCACACTTTCTTTCTGCCTTTCCCACCTCAGAGGTCTCTCACACAGTGAGTAGGTCACCAGCCCTTCAGTTCCACTTCCTGGCACCCTTCCCGCACGTGACCCCTGTACTGATCAGCCACTTCTTTATATTGTTACAGCGGCCTCTTCAGCAGCTTTGTAGCACTTTGCATCAGAATTGATTTTCTATAACGCAAATCTAATAATGTCATTTCCCCTGTGCCTTGTGGATGCTTTTGTCAGCACTTACTTTACTGTACTCAATCATTTAGATTATTATTAGACTTTGAACAAGTAGAAGGACAGGCCCATGCTCTGCTCATCTTCCCAGAATTCAGCAATAGTAAAACTTCAAGCCAGGGCTTTAAAGATGTTCTCATTAAATCTCTGGGTTACAGAATTGCAGGAAAGTAGCAGAACTTAAAATATACAAATTACTTAAATAATCAGCGTAAACCAAAAACTGAATACAAACTAAAAAAAAAAGCATTGCCTCTAAGTAAAAATAAGCATTACAAAAATGTACGCAGAATCATTTAATAACACAAGATTTTAGTTTATTTCATTCATACTTTACTTAACAGAACAGCTAACACAACTTAAGGTTGCCTTGGAGTGTCACTTAATCTCCAATCTACACTGATATGGGGGCCTCGTTTCAAAGAGAATTAATGACAACTGCAGGCTCCACTGAGGATGGCCAGGGCAGGGTGGGGCCCAAGCTCAGTGTCAGGAGATAAGGTTGAAAGAAATGCCAGTATTTCACCTACAGCAAAGCAAGCAGGCGGGGGCTCTCGACCTGAAGGGCAGTTCCTGGAAGGGGCCACAGGACGTGGGCCCTGTCCTCACTCACTGCTGCAGGGACTGTCAGTTACAAGAGCCTACGCCCTTCCCCTCGAGCCCTCTGGCCATTCAGAGGCGTGAGGACGAAGGGAGAAGCAAGACAGTGACACGGGAGAATGAAAGCTGCTTCTAGTTACGAGATCTTGGTGACCCAGAGGGAAAACGCAACCTGAGTCCCCGGAAACAAAGGTGCTCAGGGACTCGCAGATGCGGCGCAGCGGCTCCACAGACGGCTCCGGGGCTTAGAGCCCAACCACGGCACAGAAAGGTGTTTCTGGGGAGACACTTTAAAGCACCCCACGGTTCACTCAGAACATGCCAGGACTATATGAAGAGCTTAGTGTTTATCAATGTCATTCTCAAAACTGAAAAGGCAACATCTGGGCAGAGCAGGAGAGACGCGGCCTGTGCCGAGTGCTGGACAGTCTGCTCGCCAGAGGCCGCAGCACTGTGATACCTGCTTCTCCAGGCACAGGGGAGCCGTGCACCCCGCCACTGCCGAGGGAAGGGCCATTTGCACAGGTGCAGCAGGGGGCTGGCTTACTTCTCGTTGCCCACGGTTCTGAAGTTACTCACAGCAGCAGAGTGGAGCTCAAACTCTTGCTCAGGCAGGAAAGAGTGCCAGCCGTCCTCTATCACCTCAAACATGGGCCGGTAAAAGAACGGGTACATCAACGTGATGGAGTCCAGGGTGGACAAGGCCTGCGGGCAAAAAGAAAATGAAGACGGGAAGGGACACAGCACAGTCTGAAACGTCTGACTCACGACTTGGTCACGGCCTGACGGTCACGGACACCAGTCGACTTCTCCAGCACCGCATTCAGCGCTGGACACAGCGGTCATCTGATCCCAGCTGATTCTCATGACCCCGACACCCCCGAGGGACCTGGTGCTCAAACCGACTAGGTGGGAGGGACAGACACTGAGCTGAGCCTGTTCCAGGCATCGTCAACCTCGATGCTCCCAGCAGCCTCAGCAGGTGGGCCCGGGCCCCTCCCACTTCCCAGCCGAGCTGGTCACGTCATTTAACTGTTACGGGGTCTGGAACCAGAGTCCAGCAGTCAGACCCCAGTGTGACTCTGGCCCCGAAGCACAGGCACCTTTCACCTGGCAGCCTCCTGATGGGGAGCCATGGCTGGGAGAAGACCACCGAGTCCCGCCGGCATAATCCAAACTGCGCTGAGATGGAGAGTGGGGCCGATGCGCTAATACCCCCAAACTCTCAAGAGTGAAGCTGCTCCCCGTGAGGACATCAGGCTCACAGAAGGACAGGCGTGCACACACTGGGAAGCACGTCCCCTGAGTTCCCACGTCCAGTGCTCGGAGTTACCTGGTGTTGCCATTGAGAACAGCCACGCTCTCACTTAGCCAGCTTCACGCACACAGTATAGCGCTGCTGCCCGCCTCCACCTAGCGATACACCAGGCCCCCCAAGCATCTCCTAGCTGAAGGTCTGTACCCTCTGCCAGCCTTTTCCTATCTCCCCATCCCGGCACTGTTCTCCTCCACGAGTTTGACTCTTGGCCTAGACGTCACGTAAGTGACGCGGCAGAGCAGTTGCCCTTCTGTGTCTGGCTCATTTGGCTCAGCAGTGTCTTCCAGGTCCGTTGATGGTGAGGCGGCACTCTCTTGAGATGGTGGCAAACAGGACCCTGCACACATCATAGGCCAGGGCACACCCATGTGCACACATGTGCATATGCCCTGGCTTCCATACCTCAGCTATTAAGAATCACTATCAATCATGAAAGCGGAGTGCTGCTAGCTCTGCGACAGTGATTTTGTCTTCTCTGGGTAGATCCCAGAGGGGGATGGCTGCGTCCCATGGCAGCTTATTTTGTTTCTGGTGGAACCTCCACACTGCTGTCCATAGCGGCTCCAGTCGTCACCTTAAATGCCAGCTGCGGCCGTGGGCCCAGGCGACAAGACAAGCTCACTTTTCCGACTTGTCAGACTACAGCTTATGTCACTCGGCTGGAACTTGTCCTTCAACACATGAGTGCTAAAAGAACTAGAAACATTTCAACTCCAAAGGCAGTTGAAAGAAAGAAAAATGTCATCAGACTTTCTGCCAGGCTTTGGGAAGTGAGAACAGGCCTGCCAGCCTCCTGTAGGGCCCTCAGGAGGCAGCAGGGACGCTTGGGACTTGGACTCTTGAGGGCAGAACCGTCTTTTATGAGCGTTCACTGGTTACTCTGAAACCGTGTCAAGATGCAGAGAGGGCGGGAAGGATTGGGTGCCAGGGAGAGGCCAGAGGCCCAGTTCACTGTGCGCATTCAATGAGCTATGAAGACGTCGCTACAGTCCCTCTGAGGTCACATTAGGAGAATGGCTCGTAACTTCCGGCTTCACTGCAGCCATTAAGGGCTTCTGGATAATGAGTCAGTTTCGATAGAGCTCTAGGTAATATTTCTGGCTAATTAAACAATGATTAGCGTCAGCTCTAACAATGCTAAGTTAAGGCAGCCAGAAACTGGGTAGTGTGCTTTGCCCTGTTTCTGCACCACGGTGAGTATCTGTGGGCAACCTCCCCAAGGCACGCTATCCAGGTTTCTTACAAGTTACAAAGGGATAGAAAAGATGTCAGTGTAATCCCATCCCACAACTGAAACACGCAAAACCCCAGGCTCAACTGAAGTGGTATTCTCTGGTACATAGCAGGACGTGACCTCAGGATACCAGCCCAGAGCCTGTGCATTGCTCGCCCTGGTTACCAAATGTGACCAAATCAGCACGGCCATGTCCCTTCCAAGTGACAGACAGTTGGCTCATCTTCTCATTTCCTAGATTAAAATTTAGCAAAGGCAGAAAGAAAAATGTTACCTGCCATTGTCTAGTACCACAATAGTTGTTCTTCTCAAAAGAGAGAAATAAAACAAATAAAAACAAAAAGCAAAATCCTCTTACAGATTTTACGCCTTTCTTCTCCCTCTTAATAGTTAAGCAACAGCAGTTTTTTTAAGACAAATCCTAGATTAGTCAGACAGAAAAAAAAATCTGTGTGTCTCTGTAATTATCTAAAAAATACTGCAAACATAAAGTTAATTGCTATAATTTCATGGTAGTGATCTAAAATAAGGCAATTTAAGAAGTGTATACCAAGATAGTTGGTTAGAAAGGGGAATACAATAGTGTGAGTTTTTCACTTTAAATGTTAAATTACCCAAATAAAGTTTACATTATTTGTAACCTAACAGAGTCAACACTGTTTATGCAGATATAAAACAAACACATCCTGTCTTAAGCAAACCTGACATAGGGAAATTCAAACTCACTAAAAACCAAAGAAGACAATATTTGGTGACAATTTCTTGCTTTATAAAAGTAGTGACGGGCCTCCCCTGGTGGCGCAGGTGGTTGAGTGCCACACTGTGATGCTGTCCGCAGCCTCTGCAGTGCTGGTTCGATCCCAGCCGGCCAGCAAGGGTACTACATGGCGCAGCAGACCTCTCCTGTCTCACCTGCTGCTCCCCTCAGCAGTGTATTTCAGTCAGTCTGCCTGTTCTGTTCTCCGCTCTGTCTCTGGTGAATCCTCTCACCCTCCTGAGGATCTGGCCTGTACCCCAGTTCTTGTATAAATAAATCAATCTTTAAAATAAAATAAAAGTAGTGACTTTGGAAGGCTCGCCGTGCAGACACCTGCAGTGGGGTCCTCTCCTGGAGAGGCTGCAACCTGGGTGAGGCCTGAGGATGCGGTGGCGGGTGAAGCCAGTCACCAACGCACAACTACTGTGTGCGCCCTAAGCCGTGATTGTTACAGAGACAGAAAGCAGAGGGGGGCTGGGTTGAGGGGGGTCGTCGTTTCACGGCCAGAGTTTCAGTTTTGCAAGATCAGAGGCTCTGGAGATCTGTGGCCAATGATGTGCGTTCACTTAACACTACCGAATTTTACACTTAGAAATTGTTAAGGTGGTGTATTTGCAGGTTTTTCATCACAATTTGGAAAAAGTCTCAGCATAAAACTTCAAAATAAATGACATAAGGTCTTCAAATGGTAGCTGCTGTTTGTCAAATATTATACTAAGCATCCTACATATATCTATTATAACACAACTTACAAGTACGTAATGTTATCCTCATTGAATAAAAACCAGCCAGAGTCAGAGAGGTCATTTACCTGTGGCCACGAGTACCAAGCAGTGAAATCAAAAGTCAAGCGGGCTATTTCAATACTATTTGGCCAGCATTATTACTTCTCTTCAAATCTAGGATTGCACCTATTGTAAAAAGATAGACTGTAAAAAGTAATCCTGCGCTGGCTGCTGGTCTGGTGGAGAAGGCAGCTGAGCTTGGTGATTCTCTGGGCATTTCCAGTGTATCTGTGCAAGCCTGCGAGGGCAGGCGGGAAAGGCTGGATCAGCGGCCTCTTGGACCCCCTACACCCTCCTACTATGAAGTGACAGAAGCAATTTTTATAGTCATTACTTCATTGGTTTAAAATTCCACATAGGATCTTACTTAGGTAAACCCACTGGAGCTGAAAAAAGTTCATGAAATGTCTTTGGTATAGAGAAAATATTAATTTGTTTAGTAAACATGGAACATCAAGGAAAGCTAAAATTTCTCCCAAGATCCTATTTCCTAGCTCCACTAATGGGTTCTCCAAATAAGTATTCATACGAACAGACAAACCCAGTGTTGGTTACTTGACCAATGAACTCAGGGATTGAAATCCCTAGGGGAGCTGGGGTCATTCACGTGAAATGCCATCACACAGCCGTGCAGCCCTCCTGCAGGGCGCCCGCCCCGCCACGGAACATGGCCACAGGCTAACGAAGACACACAAGAGCTACAAGGAGTCTTGAGTATGATGCCCTTTTTATTGTGGCTTACTTTCATCCAATTTTCCTTCTAAAATACTTACTTCAATGGAACTGGCTATATTCAAACATTCCTCCATTCCAGGAATATCCAACTGAATAATTCGAAAATCTTTACATTTTATGATGATTGTACCCAGAGGTCCAACAAACCTGTAAAAAATTATAAATCATGCTTAGGAACATGTACATACCTAATGGAAGTATGTGGTTATTTCTTCGAACAAAGAATATAGCAGTAATTGCCATCTACACGCAACTTTCCTCTCCCAATTAGTCTAATTAGAGAAGATGATGCTTGCCTGCATCATTAAGATGTGAGCCACAGATCTAAAATATTGTGTACTTAAAAATTTTTTCAAATACACAAAGTAATTCACATTAGGCTAATTCAATTAATGGAGGATATTTGGGAGCCTTATTTCAAAGAACAAGAAAAAGACAGCTGCAATGAATGTGGTGTGTGTATGCAGGCATTTCTAAAACAGAAAATTCATTTCAGATTTTACTTACTTAGAAGATTTTATAGCAGTGATTTAAAATACAAGCATCTCTATTTCTATCTTTCAAAAACGATTAACTTGCAATTTCTCTTCTAAATCAAGGAAAATTTTAGAGTAAATGTTATAGCTAATAATAAATTTTGTACCACTAAGTTCTATTCACATTTAATTTCACTCTATTTGGGATTCCTGACTTGTATTTGTTGTGGTTTTGTCCGTACTTGCTGAGAGCTCTGATTTTTCTTTTGCTTTGCCACTGATTGTTTCCAGGTCTTTCCCATTCATACTTACTATTCCTTGGCCAGGAATTCTTAGATTGAGCAAAAGCTGACCATTATACTTGTACATGGTCCAGTTTAGAAAGCTCCTATAGCTACTCTCTTGAGCTCCCTCTCAATTGTAAGCACCCCGTGCCTCACAGCCCTGCACTGGCTAATTCAGACTGGCCAAGGTCATCAGCAGGGTCACATTCTAGTAAAAAAAAAAAAAAAAGCCACTGGACACACACAATTGATCATCACAGGGGGCTGTGTCTTATAAAATGTACTTGGAAAAACCATACTCTTGGTGCTTCCATTTCTGACAAAGGTGGGATAACAGAAGCCAGTGTGACCCTCCCACCTGGAACAGTTAAAATAAGCAGACAAAATATAAAAACTGTTTTTAAGACAGTGGACATCAGGCAAAAAAGAACAGAATGGGATTCAAGTCTGCCCCAGTTTACCGGTTAGGTCTGTTGGCTAATTTGCAGGGGGAGGGGGCCGAGGTACAGCTGGGAGCCCGCACACCTCTGTTAGAGGGAAGGTCTCAGATTCCACTTTGTACAAAAAGAAGAACAAATTAAATCCCAGAAGAGGAAATTAAATAGTAAAGATCAGAGCAAAAGTCAGTGAAATGGAAAGGAGAAAATTACGGAGGGAGGAAAAAAAAGAAAAATGAATGCTTGACAAAGGGTGCTAAGTCTTTCGTCCAGACTGATGCGGGGGAAAGAAAGTTAATCACAATTTATCAATACGGGAATGGGAGATGCCAGTCACTACAGAGTCCACAGGCATGGAAAGGGTGAGGGATACTAGGAACAACGTTGTGCCAATAAGTTTAACATGGTAAATGATATGGAAAAATCCTAAAAAGACACAAACTACTATAGATCATTCAAGAAAAAATTAACTAATTCTATAGTTATCCGATAGACTGAAACTTTCATCAAAATCTTTCCCACAAAGAAAACTGGGTAGCCTCATGATGGAGTTTTTAAAACATTTAAAGAAAAAATACTATCAAATCAAGACAAACTCAGAAAATTGAGTTTGTCACTCACTCCGCAAGGTACTACCCTCACACAAAAACCAAAGCCACTACACAAAAACTATGGGCCAATATTTTCCTCTATAATCTTAGATGCAAAATGTCTTTTAAAGAATTAGCAAATTAAATCTAACAATATATAAAAAAGGACAATACATCAATGACCAGCTGGGGTTTTCCAAGAATATAAGGCTGCTTTAACATTTGAAAATCAAAGTAAATTACTTTACCATACTGATACCATCATCTCAACAGATGCAGAAAAAGCATGTAACAAAATCCAACAATTCTGGATTAAAAAGAAACAAAATTGAGCAAGCCAGGAACAGGACACTGCCTCAACCTGGTAATAGCACTGACCGGCAACTAAGGAGGACCACTCACCACTTCTATTTAACACCGTGTGGACAGTGACAGCCCAGTGACAAGAAACGGCAACTGTCTGTATCTGCAGATGAAATGATTATTGAGGCAATCCAGTGAGAACCACAGAGAAGCTACTGCAGTGAGCTCAGTGAGGCTGCAGGATACAAGGACTCACACAGAGTTAACAGTTACTTCCACTCACTATGGCAACAATGTAGAATATGCTGAGGATTTTGTTTTTATTTAGGTGTGGGGAGACCAACAGGAGCAGAGGAGGAGATGACTGTCACTGATGAGCTGATTCCTTACAGGCCCCCAGAGGTGGGGGCGCACCATGGACAGGGGACACATGGGGAGGCAGGAGGGCAGTCCAGAGGCAGAAAGAGCAAGGAGCATGGTCAGGGCCCTTACTATGATGTTTCACAGAAAGGAATGGCAGGACGGGGCAGACACACCGATACATTAGGATAGGATGGTTGGGAAAATCGCCTCAGGTCAGAGCTACCGGTGGTCCCTGCAGTGACTTAGGGCAGGGGAAGTAGGGCACCGATTGCAGAAGAGGGGTACGGACTTGGGAGTGGCTGGCTGGCATATGAAGGGGTATCTGCAGGCAAGTTAACTGCCATCTCTAGGGACTGGCTAGCCCTAAGAAAGGCAGTCTCTCTCTGGGTCTACACGGCACTAAAATGAAAGTATATCAGATCCAGAAAGTAAAAAACTGATTAGTACAAATGAGCAACTGACAAAATACCACCCAAAATGATGAAATACATAGGGGGAAAACCTGACAAAAGGTATAATAAGAGCTGCAATTGAGAACTACACATTATTGCTGGAAGAAACGGAAGCAGGCCTGAACAAGGCAGATGGAGAGAGATGCTTGGTTCACTGGGCAGAGACTCGAGAGTAAATATGTCCGTTCTCACCAAATCCATTTCCCCGGGTCACCATAATTACAATCAGAATCACTGTACTTGAAGAAAGTGACAAGCTTCTCAAACCCGCAGCCCCTCCATGTCCTCTCCAGGGGTGCTTGCCTCCCCCCAACCTTTACATGTTCACCAGCCCAGAAGCTCTCTGAAGCCCCTTCCTCCTGGGCTTTTAAGGGGGCTTCACCACAGACACAACTGATTAAATCACTGGCCACTGCCAAGTCCCAGGAAATGGGGAGGGGGGTGCAGCCCTGGCTTTCATTCATGTTGGTGCCCCTAACAACCAGCCCCATCTTAGGGGTTTCCCAAAACACCCCCCGTATCTCTCCCTATTCATGTCTTCCACCTGATGATTCACGTGCTCGTGCTTGAGCACTCTTCGTCATCGAGAGATGGCAGAGTGGGTAACTGCATTTCCCGTGGGCTGTTCGCGGAGGTTAACCAGCCTGAGGAGGGCAGGAGGCTCTGACTGAGGCGGTCACCAGAAGCGGAGATGAGCTTCACCTGGGGGCTCTCGAGCAGTGTCTGAAGTGGAGGGAGCGCCCGGGCAGGGCACCTGCTTCTGGACATGGGGGAGCCTCTACATACCCACGGGAACTGGGCCCAGGAATTTCACAGCATAGAGAGGGGCTGAGTTACCAGATACCCACATATCAAGGACAAAAAGCAACTTGGATCTGTACTTGAAACATAAAAACCCAGTCAAAATGGATCATATATCTAAATGTAAAACCTAAAACTATCGAACTTCTAGAAGAAAACATGGGATAAAGTCTCTGTGACCTTGGGTCGGCTAAAATACCACAATCCCAAATTATAACAGAACTTCAAAATTTGAAGTGCTCTTTGAAAGATACTGCTTATGAGGATGAAAAGACAAGTGGGACTGAATGACAATATCTGCACATCTTGTATCCAATAAAGGACTTGTACACGGAATATATACATGATACATGCAATTTCAAAGCTCAGTAAAGGATTCTGGGAAGATGGTGGAGTAGGAAGCACCAGCGACCTCCTCGTCTGGACAGCAGCACTGGTGGAAGCTGTCTGCGAAAGGACTGTGGAACTCTGGGCTCCGGGGGAAGACTGGAGAATGAACTGGAGCAAGCTGCACACAATTCGCAGGCGTCAATGTGGACAAAATGCACCTTCTCCGCCCAGTGTCAGGAAACTGCTATTTCTCATCACAGGGGAGTGCAGAGAAGACAGCCACTGCTGCCTCCCACCCAGGCCGCTAGCCCTCCCCACCCCGGGGAGGTTCCAGTGGATTTAAAGGGCCAACTCCCTTTCCCATTCCCTTTCATTGTTCATTCTTTTATCTTTCAGGAGCTGGACGTTAAAGACCAGGACATTAAAAAGCACCCGCATATACGGGGAAAATTAGTAAGTATTCATGCATGCCCAGGGAAACTCAAAAAAGACCTAAAAAGATCTTATATTTACATCTCTCATTGATCCTTGGCACAGAGACAGCCTGCAACAAACAACCTAAAAATAACAAAAGCCAGGAAACCTGGGGAAAGAGGGTGGACTCAATCTGATCTGCAGATTTATTACCACATTAGCAGATTCAAATGCTCGGTGTTCAACAAAAAAATCACAAGGTACACAAATTAAACAGAAAAGTATGGCCCATTCAAAGAAAAAAAGAAATCAACAGAAACTGTTGTGAACAAAAGACTTGGGGGCAGGTATATTAGACAAACATTTTTAAAAAGTGGCTGTAATGATGCTAAAGACCTAAAGGAAGATGCGGGGAAAATCAAGAATATGAGGTGCAAACAGAATGAACAGACCAATAAAGAGATAGAAAACATAACTAAAAGCCAAAAATATTCTGGCACTGAAAAGTACAATAACTGAAATTGTAACCGGGTGGTCCCCAGGAAAGGGGGAGGTTCCCTGCCCCACCCAAGGGAGAGTGGAGCTGAGCATGGAGAGGAGAAGCTGCAGAGGAGACTAAGGAAGGAAGCAGGATGGAGCCAGAAGGAGCCCTGGAGGAGGCACATGGAGCCCAGAGACACGTGAAGAAACTGCGCTT